GCAGGTGGGGACAGGCTGGCGCGGCTGGCGACGGTGCGGCTCTCCGCTCCCCGGGGCCAGGGTTCCACCGCGGGCGCGGCGCAGCGGGGCGGGGACGGCGGGTCCCTCCGGGTGGGCCAGCCCCGCGTCCGGTCCAGGCGTCCCCCAGCCCACACAAAGGTCCAGCCCCGCGGGCCTGGCCCCGGCCCATTGGCGGGAGCTCGGGGGGCGTGGCCTCGCTGCCCCGCCCCGCCCCCGGCCCGCTCGGCTCTCGCAGTCGGAGCCCAGCCGTGGGCGCAGCGGAACGCGCAGCCAGGTACGAGGCTTTTCCGGGACCCCGCGAGGGGCCTGGGGCTCCCCGCGCGAGCCCCGGGAGCGCAGGGACGGGGCCGCGGCCTCCCCCGCTGGTGCTGCCCCCCGCCAGCCCCCCGTGCGGGGTCTTCTGGCTCCCGGCTTTGGGCTCCGGGCCAGTTCCTCCCAGCCCCTGCGAGATGCCCGGCCTCCGGGGTCTGGCTGGGAAGCGCGGGTCCTCTCCCCGGGAGGAAGGGGTGGGTGTGGCCGCAGCTGGAGGGATCGGAGGCGAGCGTCGGGCAGCACTTCCCGCCCGGCCACCTGTTTTCTGCGCGCTGGGGACGCGCTCCCGGTCCCCGCCACCGCTCTTGCCTGTGGGCTGGAGCGTGAATGGGGTGACTCGTGGTGCGGGGGGTGGGCGCGGGGGGCGCCGCGCGCTGGAGGCGGAGCCACCTCCCTGCCGGGCCTGGCGGCACAGCTGTGGGCTCGCGGGTGGGACGGCGGCCAGGCCCGGCGGGGGAGCCGCCCTGGCGCCGTGCGATTGGCGGCATCTGGGGGAGGAGGGACCGCGGCGCGCGCTCGCTGGTGTTTTTGCGCCGGAGGGTGGTGGGGGGACGACTAGACGGAGGAGAAAAACTTCATCCGCGAGTACAGGCCCCCTCTCCAGCGCGGCGCTGGCCACCCAGGTGCGCAGGTCGGAGATGCAACATTAATTTTTAAATTTAAAAAAAGCAAAGTTCTGGGCCCACAGCTTTTGGGGGGGTTGGAGTGGGTGCGTGTCCTGGGAGAAGTGAAGGGCAGCCCGCTCCGCTCCAGGCCGGGCCTCGGTTCTTAGAGGTGGAGGTGTCTCGTTGCAAAACAGGAGGCCTCTGGAATCCTGGTCTGCAGATTGGGGATAGAACTTCTCCTAGCAAAAATGGGTGCGTAGGAATAAAAGGGCTAGCCCAGGCCGGAGAAACGCTAGGTCCACTCTCCCGCTGTTTTGATATTTCCCAAGTCTCTTTTGATGTCTCATCTTGCCCTTCTAATATGATGGCCAAGCCGAAGCCAGATGGTGGTTGTAAAAACAATAGCTTCAAATTCAACCCTCCTGCTTAAAATTGTCCTCTGATGTCCCCATTGTCATTTACCATAAGCTACCAACTTTTCAAGAGGCTTCCTGTGATTTACCCCCACTGCCTCTACAGCTTCCCTCGCTCTGGGCCTTTGCCCCTCTGGAGCCCTCGGCCTGGACTCTGCACCCATTAAGAGATCTTTTCAGACCCGGCTCAGCAGGTCCATCTCTGGGCCATCCGCTCCTGGGGCTGCCTGAATGCCAGTGGATTCTCCATGCTGACCCATGTGTCCCTTGTCAGCAGCACTGGCCTGGTGGCCCCTCACGGGAGTAGATGCTTGGGATCAGATGAGCTGAGTTAGGCCTTGGTCCTTGGGTCCTGCAGTGGAGGTGAGGGGGAGGGGGACAGCCTGTTTGTCCTGCTGAGTGGCAGACTGAGGGCATTTGGTTTACGTCCCACACACAGGGCCAGGAATGGGAGGGAAGGCTCTTCAGCTCAACCGCGCCTCACAGCTGCACCTTGCCAGCGCATTGATGTTGACTGGACACGGTCATCGCACCGTCCACACATCCGCACCCCAGGATGATGCATCATTCCAGTGGACAGTTGGGGAAACTGAGGCAGGGTTGCTTGCCAGAGGTTGCAGCGGTGTGGAAGAGCAGATCGAGGAAAGGATCAAACAGGAAGGAGTAGATGGGGACAGGCCTGCAGGGCAGGGTTCTGTGCATGATGGATCCGCTGTCCCTGGAGGCCTCCTGGTTGAGTGCCTTGTGGGGCAGTGGGTAACTCTGTCGCCTGGATGGTCAAGGCTTTTGGGGTGCTCATGGGGGGTCAGGAGGCTGGTGATGCTGGAGGGGCTGCCTTGGGGTCCTGGAAAGCTCCTCTTCAGGCTTCTGGCCTCTTCACAGTCAGTGTCAGCAGGGAGTGGGGGGGCTGGGCGCGGGCTGCAGCTGAGGAGGCCTGCTGTCCCTGTGCCTCCCCTTTCTCCACCCTCACCAGACCCCTGCCCAACAATGGAGCAGAGTGTGGCTGAGCCCTACTGCTGCGTCAGCCTCTGGCTCATTCTCGGCCTTGCTTCCAGGGACCCCTCTGTCCCAGGTCAGCTGACACCCCTGCCCCTGCCCGGGTGCTCTAGGCCAGTTCTGCCAGCCCTGGCTCAGTGGGGCTGACTGTGCCATCATTCTAGAGGCTGGCCCCAGTCCTGAGGTTTCGCTGGGCAAGAGAATCACCCCATGGACCAGTGCCACTCCCTCCCTGGGAGTCCCTTAGACATGCAGACTGGGGGTGGGGACGGGGAATATACCTCCTCTAGAGGGGTTCTCTACCCAGCACCTCAGACGCCACCGTCACCTGAGAATCAGAATCTGCATTTGAACCCACTGAAGAGTGCACAGCCCTGACTTAGCCCCCTGTGCCTGGGTCCTCATCTGGGAAACATGGCTGGTGGCAGTGCCTCCCTGTTGGGTTCATGTGAAGATTAATCTAGGTCGTGTGTGTAGGTGTCCCCTGGAGCCCACACGGGCCAGAGGGCAGCGGCTTTGGGTGAGTAACAGCACAGCCCTCTGCCCCCACAGCGGGCCCTGCAGCCTGCCCTGCCCACTTCCCAGTGTGGCTTTGTGTCCACCCCACCTGCCAGAGTGTCCACACCATGGGCCGCGAGGTGGCTGGCAGGGTACCCAGCCCTGGCCTTCCCCAGCCAGAGACCCATGGAAAGTTCTGATGCCCGCCTTTTGTGAGGCAGGCGGGGAGAGGTCAGCTTTGCCCAGGAGTGGACGTCTGACTTGAGCCAAGCTCCAGTCCACTCCTGCATCATCTGCTTCAGGGAAGGGTCCGAGGCAGCAAGAAGGGCGCCTGGTGACCTGAACGCCGGGTGGCTGTTGGAGTGGCTGATGGCCCCTCCAGCTCCCTCCTGGGATGAGCACCTGGTCCTTGGCTCCAGAGGCTCCTCCTGCGGGCGGCTGGTGGGCCTCCAGGCCAGGGCAGGAGCAGGACCTGCAGGTGGTTAACAGGGCTCTGCATGGTCGGGCCCTCAGCTCCAGGTGTGGGTGTGGGCCAGGTGGGGGTCAGGCAGGCCGCAGCCCAGTGCCAGTACCCGTCTGAAATCCCAGAACCTTCCAAGAGGAGCTGTAGGGGTTATGGAAAATTCCCAGGCTATTTTAGGCTGAGGCCCCCTCTGCCTCTGATTCTCAGGGTAAAAGCCCAGCTGACAAACCCCTCCCTGGGGACAGTCAGGGTGGGGAGGGCTTCCTGCCCACCAGTCTGCGGGGCCCTTGACACTCATCAGAACTGAAGGGCATGCGGCCAGCTGCTCACCTCGCCCACTGCGCCCCCCTGGGGCAGGTAGCAGGCTGTGTCCTGGGCTGTTTCTAGCTCAGTGGTGGCTCAGAGGCCCGTGACTGCAGAGGAGGAGGTTGGGGTATCAGGAGCCACCCAGTCTGCGTGCATGCGTGTGGGTGCCCGTGTGCAGACACCCTACACATGGGCGCACCCCCCTGTACTTGTGCAGATGTACACTCACACAAGCACATGCAGACACCCCCCACGCGTGCACGCACACCAGCACGTGTGCACACAGCCCAGCAGTCGTGACATGCCATGGCCATGACATTTGGTCCAAGTTTGTTGCAGGCAGGGGCCCCCCTCAGGCCCTGAGCCTGCTGCAGCCTGAGCTTCAGCCTCACCCCCTGCTGCTGCGGGGACTGGGAGGGGGCGTGGCTGGTCGCGGAGGTCAGCCCTGCCTTGTGCTCCGGGCTCCAAGGCCACCCTTGGTGTTGCGGGGAGCAGCTGGCAGCAGGAAGCCACCCATGCTGGTGGGTGGGGCTAGGGCAGTCGCACGCCCACCTGGGGGTGCTCCTGGGTGACTAGCTGGCTGCACAGCCCCTATACAGACGGACTCTGACCCAGCTGTCCCCACAGGGAGGCCGTCCATGTGCTCCCCCTGCCCGCCCTGTTCCGGCTGTCCCAGGTGGCTCCTGAGAGGCTGGCTGGTGGAGGCTGGGGCTCCTGGGCCTTCCCATCCCTCGCACTCCGGGTGCCTTAGGGTTAGGGTGATGCAGGACTTAGCCCAGGGCCCTGAGAAGCCAGGAGTGGGGGGCGAGCCCCTGTGCGGTCCCCACATAGCTCCCCTGAGGAACATGGGTTTCCAGTGGCATCTCAGGGGGACTGGATGCATTTGGCTCCAGCTGCCTTTTTGTGGTGCTGGGGCTTGGACCCAGGTTGTCCTGCCTGCGGGGACAGTTGTACCACTGAGGTGTGCCCCCAGCCCTGCGGGGCACATTTGGGAAGTGAGAGGGCTGAGGTGGAGAAGGAAGGGGCTCCCTTGTTTGGGGCCTGTTTGGTCAATCCAGGGAGCATGGCGTGGCCATGTGTGGACAGAGGGGCTGCCCTCCCCACCCACTTTCACCCAGCATCCCTCCCCAGAGCCTTCCTGCTGGCCTTGGTCACATGGGGTCACATGAACCTCGGGGCCTTTCTTCCTCCTCCTTCAGGGGGCTAAGTGGCTCTCAGCTCCAGGCCCAGCAGGCCCCCCCAGGCAGGCGCACCCCCTCTCTGCCCATCGCATTCTGTCCCCTCTGCCTGCCTGTGTGCGGCCTTTCAGCAGTCGGTGACAACCTGTTGATGGCTTTATTCACCTGTTTGTTCTCAGGCTCCAGGTTCAGCCCTGTGTCTCCAGTGTCCTGAACAAGGCCTGGCACGGGCATCCATTTGTTGAGCGACTTTATGATGGCCGTTACAGCTGACCGTTGCTGCTTACTCGTTCTGGCAAGATTTGTGCCCCACGTTGAGCACACATTTTTTTGTTCCAACTTCATGATGATGGTGTGAATTCAGGACTGTTGTAATTTGCGTTTACCAGACACAGAAACAGAGGTCCAGAGAGGTTAAGTAACTTGCTCAAGATCACACAGACGGCAGGTGATAGAATTTGAAGTCAGGTGGGCCTCGATTCTAAAAGACAGGGGGTGGGGAGGCTTTGCTTTGTAGGGTGGAGGGCAGCTCCCCACCTTACACTGGAGCCACCGGGTCATTGTGGTCCCACTTGCTGTCCCAGGAGGCCCGAGGGGGTCCTCCCTTCCCCTCCCCTCCCTGGACCCCCCTCCCTCCCAGAACTCCAGTCGTGGGAACATTCTAGGACTCTGTGACCTGTACTGCTGGCTCATGCCGGAGCCCTGACCTCCAGCCCAGCAGCGGGCCTGTCCGAGGTGGGGGCTCCCTGGACGCGTGGTCCTGCTTGGCTGCGGCTGCAGCGGAGAAGGGTCAGGAGGTAGCTATGTCACTCCCTGAAGAAGGCCAGCCGGCCCCCTCCTCTCCCAGCCCGGCAGAACTGAGGGGAGTGTGGGAGTGTCGGGAGGCTGTCTCCTTTGGAAGTGGAACCTCCCTTTCCCCCGAGGACGGAGGCCTGGGTCTTAGGTGGCCTGGGCATGGGGGCCTAGAGTCACCACGGGCAGTGGTGATTGGGGTCTGGGCGTCAGAGCTTCCTGCCACAAGTAGCTGGAAACTTTGGTTCCCAGGCGGAGAGGTGGGATGCTCCAGGTGGTTCGTATCTTAATGAAGCCCACCCGGGTTGCTTCAGTCCACCTGCCCGTGGACTCGAGGGGACTTTTGAGCTCAGGCCTGCCCCGGGCTACCTGGCAGTGTCTTCCTCTGCTCCTGAGCAGGTGTGAGTGAGGCCCATCGCTGCCCCTTCTCCAGTGTGGAAGGGACTTGACCCAGGGCCCCTGACCTGGGGTCGTGGCTCTTTTCCTTGGCCCTGAGCCGAGGCTGGCTGGAGCCGGCACCTCCACGTCCCGTCCCGGGTTTTGGGCACAGAGCCGGGTCCCACTTACCACCAAGTTGCTAACCGCCAGGGTGCAGCTGTGGAGCGGCCTCCTGGTGGGCCACCCGGGTGCTGCTTCCTGGGGAGGCAGGCGGCATGGCGGGACTGCCCCGCAGGCTGGTGGCTGGGCCAATGCAGCGTGCTCTGAGTCCCTGGATCTGCCCAAGGGCCTGGTGGACACTGCCTTTGGAACTCTCCGGAGGTCTCTGGGTGAGCCTGCCGGGCCTCCCTTCTCTGGGTGCAGGCTGGGGCAGCCCCTCGGGGCCGTGTGCTGGGGTTTGAGCGCTCTGCTCCTCGGCCTCCTGAAGTGGACCTGTTTGCCCTTTCCCCGCAGCCCTGGCACACAGTAGGGCGCCAGGAGTGTCTGTCACGGGGAGTGGCCTCACTGGCGGAGGGTTCCTGGCCTCCCTCCCCTTCACAGCACCTGCCAAATGTCCCAAGTAGGCCCAGGTCTGTGCCGTGAAGGGGAGGGAGGCGGGACAAAGGGGACCAAGGCTGCCTTTGTCACTGTCCTCGTCTTGGGGGTGATCGGTGACAGAGGGAGGCCTGTGGCCACGTAAGAGCCCTGAGCAGGCACCTGGCCCACTGGGGTGGCACGGTGATGGTCAAGGGGGCCGATTCGAGTCTCGGACGGCCCCCTCAGATGTGGAGAGGAGGATGTGTTCGGCCCCACCTCCAAGGTCTGACCCCTGAGAGCTCTCCGTCTCTCTCCAGGTCAGCAATGTCATCTGAGCCTCCCCCGCCGCCACAGCCCCCCACGCATCAGGCTTCGATCGGGCTGCTGGACACCTCTGGGGCCCGAGATCGGTCACCATCTCCTCTGAGAGGCAACGTGGTCCCCAGCCCGCTGCCCACTCGCCGGACAAGGACCTTCTCGGCGTGAGTCTCGTGCTGGCTGGGGACACTTCCTGAGATGGCGCTCTTGCCCAGGGCCAGAGGTCCACTGTCCAGCCACAGTTGGGCCTCCGAAACCCCTGGGGAGTCTTGGGAAGGGGGTAAGGGCTGGTGGTGAGGACCTTCTGTCCGAGCTCTGAGGACACTGCTCTGTCCATGAGAAGGGCCACAAGCGGGGTGGGAAATCCTGGGGCGTCAAGGTCATTGCAGTCAGCTGCACAGGGGCACAGCGCCTGGTGGCCACAGGGCTGCAGGAGACCCACACAGCGCTTGGCAGGTGCAGGTTGCAGGCCCCGTGAGTGCAGCCTGCTCTGTAATTATGCACAACCTGTGTGACTGTACATGGCGGCTCCTTGGGCACAGCTGTGGGCAGGGCTGGGATGAGCTGGGTGTGTCCCAGGAGAGTGGGTGGCTGTCCGGGGGCTGAGGGGGCCTCTTGCACCTCCTTCTCCCGTCAGGACGGTGCGGGCTTCGCAGGGCCCTGTCTACAAAGGAGTCTGCAAGTGCTTCTGCCGGTCCAAGGGCCACGGCTTCATCACCCCCGCTGACGGTGGCCCCGACATCTTCCTGCACATCTCCGAGTGAGTCAGCAGCAGGTCTGGGCAGCCCTGGGCTGGGCCAGGTGGGGCACTGGGTGTGAGGACATGTGGCCAGGCGTGTGGGACTCTGCCCGTGACCAGCTCTGACTGTCCCTGTGTGTATGTTGGTGGGGCCGTGAGACAGATTGAAGGCAGCTGCGTGTGTGTGTGTGTGTGTGTGTGTGTGTGTGTGTCACAGCGACTGGGTACGCCTGTGAACAGTGCATTGGCTTTTGTGAGCGTCTCCCCGGCCACGGTGCCCAGGGTGGACGGGTGTGTGGGGCTCTGGAGCTGCTGGGTGCGCCTGAGCGCCCAGCGAAGCCGGTCAGTTGAGGGCACCCCTGGGAGGCAGCTTCCTGCCTGGTTCAGGGGAAGTGGCCCGGTGAGCCGGGGGGCTCCAGGAAGGAAGTTAGGGGCTGGACCCTTTCTCCTGCCACTTGCTCATTGACGTCCTTCCTTCCTGAGTGTCTGGAAGCCCTTGGGGAGCCCAGGGCGGCCCCACGTCCTCAGGGCTGGGAGTGCCCCGCAGCCCATCCCCACAGCTGGCCCTGCAGCCTTGGGATGTGCCGGGACTCTTAACTGCACTCCTGGCCTAAGCACTTCCCAACCCCCCATTTTTTTTTTTTTTTTCAATTTTGGGGCTGGAGCCGAGAGAGGGAACTGAGGGGGCCACTCCACACAGCAGACCTGGAGGGCGTGGGGCCCTGCCAGGTGCTGTGGCGGGTGCCTAGGATCCCTGTGACTTGGGAGGCTGAGGCAGGAGGATTCCTTAGCAATGCAGTGAGACCCTGTCTCAAAATAAAAAATACATGGTGGGTGGGCATGCTGATGCACGCCCATAAGCCCAGTGGCTCGGGAGACTGAGGAAGGAGGATCGCAAGTTCAAAGCCAGCCTCTGCAAAAAGCAAGGCATTAAGCAACTCAGGGAGACCCTGTCTGTAAATAAAACACTAAATAGGGTTGTGGATATGGCTCAGTGGTTAAGTGCCTCTGAGTTCAATCACCCGTACCTAAAAAATAAAAAAAACGAAGTGCTGAGAATGTGGCTCAGTGGCTGAGCGCCCTGGACTCAATCCTTAGTACCAAACAAAAACAAAATCAAACCAAAAATAGGCCAGGTGTGGTCGTTCACGCCTGTAATCCCAGCAGCTGGGGAGGCAGAGGCAGGAGGATCACAAGTTCAAAGCCAGCCTCAGCAATTTAGCAAGGTGCTAAGCAACTCAGTGAGACCCTGACTCTAATAAAATACAAAATAGGGCTGGGATGTGGCTCAGTGGTCAAGTGCCCCGGGGTTCAATCGCCGGCACCCCTCAAAACAAACAAAAGTAAGTGGGCCCCTGTTGTCTGCTGCTAGGGAGCATCAGCCCTGCCCCTCCCTTAGCATGCCTGCATGACAGGGGTATTAAAGGGCCCTCTGCAGCGCAGACAGGAGGGGACTGCTGAAGCATTGCACTGTGTACGTGGGTGTGCAACTGTGTTTACAGGCTGCCTCTTTTCAGAAGGAATGTCTCGTGGTTTACAAAAAAGTTAGGAAGACATGGGTTTGGGGGCACCCAGGAACGACGGAGCAGCCGTGCCATCTGGATTTACTGCAAGACCTGGGCTGCGGCTTTATTCCTGAGCTTCCTGGTGGCCAAATCAAACACAGAAAGCACATGGACTCTCTAATAAAGCAGCCCAGTTCTGGGGGAGCTGGCTGGCCCTGGCATTCAGGGTCCGAAGGGGATTTTCCTCCTGGGGTCTCCTTGAGCAGCAGCAGGATACCAGCCTTGCCATGAGACGGTGACTCGTGTCCTCGAGACAAGAGGGGGACCTATCTGGGGATGGTCACAAGGGAGAGAAGCCCTCCTGGGACTAGCTTGAGGGGTCACAGGGACTTTCTGGAAGGCTCTCTGAGTGTCTGGGAGTCCAGCAGAGGCTCGGCTGGGAGCCCTGGGAAGGGGCTGGTGGGTTGGGGCTCCTTGGCCAAGACCTGAGGCTGGGCACAGGGTGGAAGGCCTCACGGCGGTCCCTTGGGAAGGGGGCCTCTGACAGTGGGGTGCTGAGGTCTTGGGGGGCGTGGCGCGGGCTCTCCTTGGCGGGGCTCTGACTGCCTGCTCTCCTGCTCCCGCAGCGTGGAAGGGGAGTACGTTCCCGTGGAAGGCGACGAGGTTACCTATAAGATGTGTTCCATCCCGCCCAAGAACGAGAAGCTGCAGGCCGTAGAGGTGGTCATCACCCACCTGGCACCGGGCACCAAGCACGAGACCTGGTCTGGGCACGTCGTCAGCTCCTAGGGGACCCAGAAGCACCCCTTCTCCTGAGCATGTGGGAGACTCTGTGGGGAGCAGGAGTCAGGGCCACACTGGAGATGATCTACCGCACGAGACGGGGCTTCTAGGGGGACACAGTCCCTTCTGAGTGTCTCTGGAGGAAGGGGTGGGGCAGGCCCGGGTGCCCCCGGCCATCAGCAGCTTCCTCCCGTCAGCAAGCTGTCACCTCCTGGAAAGCATTAAAGGCATTTAGAAAGGAGAGGCACCTGCTGCTGGCTGAGCCAGGGTCCCACCCAGCCTGGGGGGTGGGTCCAGGGTCACTGTCCCCCAGCTGCCCAGAGGAGCAGGCTCCGCCACAGAGCCTTTCCCCCTTCTGGTGGGGCTGGAAATCCCTGGATTGGGCAGGGGGTGCAGCTCCGAGGTAGAGCCATCGGCTAGAGCGCACCGGGTTCTGGGCGCCATCCCCAGCCCCGCCGCCCCCAGGTCCCCAGCTCTGGCCCACAAGAGGTGACGCGCCACTTCCCCAGGGTGAGTTCCACCCAGTGCCCGTCATGTCCTCTGGGGAGCAGGCCAGTGCAGTCTTCTGACTCCTGGTTTGGTTGGTTCTAGGGAAGCTGCTTCAGGGTGGGGCCCTGGGTTGGAGGGATTTTTGCTGTTTGGTGCCCTGGCAGCGGGACACGTGGCACTGCTGCCAGTCTGAGGAAGACCGTCCCTGGGAGCCTGGACCCCAGGGCTTGGCAGCCTGGGCTCGGGCTGAACTTTGCCTTCTTTTAGAGTCTGGTCTTCACCTTCTAGTCAAGCACTCCCCATTGCAGCCGTTTCCCAGCCTGTCGTTATGGGGGTGATTGCAGGGGCTGATGGGGGTGGAAGATGCCTTAGAGAGGGGAGGGTCTTTATTTAAAAACAGAACTTTTCCTGGGCAGGCATGGTGACCACGCCTGTAATCCTAGTGACTCAGGAGGCCAAGGCAGGAGGATCAGAAGTGTGAGGCCAGCCTGGGTAACTTAGTGAGGCCCTGTCTCGAAATAAAAAATAAAAGGGTTGGGGAGGTGGCTCAGTTGTAGAGCACTCTGGGTTCCTTCCCCAGTATGAGAAAACAACAACTCCAAAACAGAACTTTCCCCAGGTCCATCCAGAGAGTGGAGAGCTTGCTTCCTGACGGCCTGGGAAAGTCAGAAGTTACAGGTGGAAATGCACATAGTTAAGAGGTGCTGAGGGACGGTCTTCACCAGCTGAGGTTGCCCCACCGGGCCTGCCCCGTTTCTGCTGATGTGGCACCTTGGGTAGGGACTTCCAGTAAACGCACCCTTAGGACCTTCTTTCAGTACTTTGGTTTGGCTCTGGTTGTGATTTGAAAGTAGAAGCAGTTGAGTGAGACCTTTGGAAGTCCACGGCCTCTGTGTAGTCGGGTGTTTGCTTGTCGGTGCCGGACTGAGGGGCCCAGGACCCCACTGCAGAAGAGAGGGAAGACCAGTCCATGTGGGAAGCAGCCAGGACTTCATCACAGGCCTTAAATCTGGACTGGGGGTTACATTTTGACTCTTCCAGCCGAAGAATGCTTCCTTTGAGAGGGGATGGAGGGCTAGAACTATTTGCTGGTGACCGGTGGAGTTTTTTTTTTTTTTTTTTTTTTTAAAAAGGCAGGTAAGCCCAGCACAGTGGCGTGCACCTGAGATCCCAGCCACTTTGGAGGCTGAGGCAGGAGGATCAGCAAGTTCGAGGCCAGTCTGGGCAACTTAGCAAGACCCTGTTTCAAAATAAAAAATTAAAAGAAAAAGCTGGAACTGTGGCTTGGTGGTAGAGTACCCTGGGTTCAATTCCCAGTACTGCAGAAAGGCAAAGGTGGTGTTGATCAGGTGTGTGCTGTGACGTGCATGTGGCTCCATCCCTGTTAGGGTGACCTCCTTTGTTGCTTGCTGTGCCCTTGTAGGGTCCTTCCACTCTTGCCTGTCCTCTGCTGGGTAGAGGGGCTTTTTCCCTCCAAGTCTTGGCTTGTTTTCCAGGTTGCTCCCCTGGGTTGTCTGTTGGGCGCAGACCAGGTTTCCAAAGCCACTTGCTTCCTCTCAAGCGACTCTGGCTCTGCCCTCAGCTTGGTGGCCAGCTGGGACTTGGTGTCCTCCCACGTGCTGGCGCCCAGCGGCTGTGCCCACAGTAGCCTGGGAGCTGCTTTCTGCTGTCAGTGGACTTTGGATTCTCTCGCTTGGCAGAACCCTTTGTAAACGGTGCTTCCTGTGTGACCACATTGTTCAGTTGATGAGCATTCTAGAACCGAGGGATATTAGAGCTGGAAGTGACCCCTCTCCACTCAGACACAGAGTCTCAATTTGCAGATGGGGAGGGACGCAGCTGGGAATAGAATGCAGAATTCCCAAGAAGGGATCTTGCCTCCCTAAAGCCTGCTGGTGCGAGGCGGTGTACACGGGGTCTGGCGCATGGAAGCCCAGGGTCAGGATGGCTTCCCTGCAGAGGCCGGAACCCTGCCCCCCCTGCAGTCGGTTCTGTGGAAAATGGAGCTCTGATCCTCATTCTCCTGTGCGGGAGAGCTGTGCTGTAGATGTGGCCTCATGAGGTCACAACACATGTCGTTGGCTTGGTTGGCGGTGGATAAAGCTCTGTGGCGGTGTTTTGGGGTTGTGTGAGCAGGAGGGAGCTCTCATTCTCAGTGTCCCCCTGCGGACAAGAGAATGGTCTCAGGGTTCCTGCTGCGGACACCTGATGGGGCTTGAAGTTCTCCAGATGCCAACGGCGGGGGGGGGGGGGGGGGGGGCTGGGAACAGATGAGGCCAGCCTCATCTTGGAGGCCGGGGCTCAGGAGAGAGTGCTAGAATAGATCTTCTAAGTCTTGGTGGTCACATTGGTGGAGAGCAGCAGGTCACTTGTGGGACAGTTGTGGGGAGGCAGCCAGATTCAGAGGGTGCAGGGACTGAGGTGGGCAGGGTGGCAATCCCGGGTGACAGGGCAGGGGCAGCTTGGGGAGGGACTTTATGCCTGGCCGGGTGGGTTTCACTCTGCCTGGTGTTCCCCAAGGAGGTGGATGATGATCTGATGCGGATGGGTATTTGTATTAATATGATTTTTGAAGTGTTTTGGGGAAATTAGAACTAGTCCATCCATCCAGTGTGTTCAGAAAGAGGTTGGAGTTGGCCTTAAGCTCAGAACCAACCGTGAGCGAGTTGCCTTTTTACACCAAGGGAGTGTTCTGTGCAGGTGCCTGGGGGAGGGAGGGCTGGAAGCTGCAGCTGGGTCAGGAGCAGGCCGCCTGGGAGGCTGTGAAGGTCAGCGAGTTAGGGCTGTGCAGGTGGGAAGAGCCTGGGGCTGGCTGCTTACTGGGCTGTGATGGGCCCAGCCTGGGCTGGGCCTGGGCTGGGGGAGCCTGGGAGTGGGGAGGAAGAGGAAGTGATTCAGGGTTCCGCAGGCCTGGGCTGCACCTGGGTCTGGTGCCATTGCCCAGCTCTGGCAGTGGGGTGGGAGGGAGCCCTCCAGCCACCCCCTCCCCCATCAGCTGCAGGACCTCCCGGAGGCCTGACACAGAGCCTGCCTGCGGACCTCCTGAGGCTGCTTAGACCCAGGTAACCTGGAGTCCAGGGCCAGCAGTGTCTTCAGATTTCTGAACAGGCCCAGGCTGGCTTGGGCTTACTCGGTGCTTCCCTCTTGCTCAACTCCTACTGTATTTAAATGTCTTGGGTTGGTGACTTTATCCTGCCAACTCCCCAGGGCCAAGGGAATGACTGTGCTGCCCCCGGGCTGCTGGGAGGCATCCAGAGTTGGGACTGCTCACACAGGGCAGGCCTACTAGACTGCCATCAGCTCCTTCAGTGTACCCCGCACCATGTGGCAGGGGCCATCTCATTTGGCAGACGACAACATGCCAAGGGACGTGCTCTGAGTCACAGCTGGTCAGCAGAACCAGCCTCACACCGGGGCAGTCTGCGCCCACTTGGCCTCACAGACCCTGCCGCTCCTGGAGCTTGCTCCATCACAGCCGACACCATGACCACTTATTCCCACTGTACCCTGGGAGGGTCAGACTGGGGTTCCATGGAACACAGAGACCACAGGAAGAAAGGGGAAGGTAGGAACCCCAGGTCCATTTCATGCAGGAGGGTCTGAGGCAGCCCCCTGCCCAGGAAGGTTTACCAGTGAATTCTGGACCTCACCCCAGAGCCAGAAAGAGTGGCAGAGCCACCTGGTGTGGGAGCCACTGGAGAGAAGCACGGAGCAGAGTGGTTTCAGAGCTAAAGGTGGGCTTCTTCCCGGAATATGGGGTGCAGCTGCCAATCCCTCTTCACCACCCACTGACAATCAGGAGGAACAAGCATCAGAATGAGAAACAGGAAACGTCACTTTAGTGTGCTCCACTGTGTTTTGAAAGGTCGTTACAGTACAATTTCAAAATTCAACAAGGGCAGGTGACAAGATGGCTGGTCCTGAGAGCTCCTCAGAACCTGCCTGTGTGGGACAAAGGGCAGGCCTGCAGCTGCTGCTGGCCCTCACCCCATGCAGCCGGGCAGTTGGGCTGACTGGGTGGTAAGCCTCGGGGTGGAGATGGCCAGATGCTGGAAAGTGGCACAGGAACCCCTTCTCGGAGGGCTCTTCCCAGTGCTCCGGGGGCTGGGGGCGTGGAGCTCCCTCAGTCCACAGGGAAGGGTGGGCAGGAGCAGACTGTGTGGACGCCTGAGGAACCAGGTCCCGTCAGGAGGGCCCTCTTGGGGAAGTCTGATGACATCCCTGGGAGCTGCTCTGGTGCAGGGGAAGGGCTGCCGCCAGTGTCTTAGCAGGGTCTGTCCTCCCAGGAGCAGCTAGGCTGTTCAGAGCAGTGAACGCGGGGTCTGCCCAGTGCAGACGCCAGGGGTCACTTGGTACCAGGCCAGCAATCTGCCTGGCAGGCCACAAACAGGAAGCAGGCTGGAAAACTGCGCATCCCAGCACCTCCCCCCACCCCCTGGCTCAACTCGGGAGGGGGCTTCAGGAGGGAGGGGAGCCCAGCTGTGTTCCAGGGTCATGCAGGGGCTGTCGCCCTTTCTGGTAGCTACGCCAGGGTCCAAACACTAACAGCAGTTGTATTTGAGACCCTTGAAGAGGGCGAGCCTCGGCACATTTGTTCTTTCTGAATCCTCCTTGAATGAGTTTCCAGAGCCCATGTTAGGGTGAAAACGTGCCAGCGCGAGGCAGGTCTGAGGCTGGGGATGGGGTCTCATCCCCTCCCTGGATCCTTCCGGCACTGCAAGAGGAGCATGACCTGCTGGGGGTGGAGGCTGATCCTGCTGCCCAGTGTGGTGGTGTCCACACCGTGCACAGCTGGACAGTGCAGACAGCTGGCCTGGGAGTGGGTGTGTGTGAGGAGGGGCCGTGGCTTTGGCCCAGGGACCCCCTCCCCACCCTCGTTACAAGAAGAGCTCTTCACAGATCCTGCGTGTGTCCTCGGGTGCTGTCACAGTGTAGCCCACGGTTCTCGGGTCTGTGAAGATCTCGTGGTCATTGCCGCCCTGCAGAGACACAAGGCCCAGATGTGTTAGGCTCTGCTGCCCAGGGTGCGGCTGCTGCGACCCTGGCACTGAAGGCCGACAGAAGTGAGGGACCAACACCTCACCAGGGCAGGGAGACTTCCAGTTACTTCTTAGTTTGCAGGGGAGGAACGCCGCGAGCACTCTTGGGAAGGATTTTAACCTCCTCTTGAACCCCAACTGGGCTTGGAACATGTAATTATCCCTGTGAAGGAAATCACGATGCTCTTGTGAAGATCTAAGGCTTATTTTGCTATAAAGCAAGTGTAGGAGTGACAGCAGCCTCATAGCCATCAACTCGTCTTACCTATGCCCAAGCTCCTCCATCACAAGGATGGGGCAGGGTAGACAGCCTCGGGCAGCTAGCTGTGACAGTGTGCACAGTTGTCTCAGTGCTGACCATAGCCACATGGGGTCACTGGGCACTCAAAGTGTAGGTAGGGCCACAAGGAGCTGAGTTTGATTTTGATCACATTTAGATGGCCCCATGCAGCTGGTGGCTGGCTAAGGGTATGGTCTCTGCAGCGGGTGGCCTGGGTTGGACCTTGGTTCTGACTGAATGAGGGTGTGGCTACAGAAGGCTCTTCTGCCCAGAATGGGGTAATGGTGGGACCTGCCCAAGGCCAGGTCCGGGAGACGTCAGGTGAAGCACAGCTCCGGTCTTGTTCCTCACCTGGTGTGCCTTCCTGCAAGTCTCACCCTGGCCCGGATCAGGAAACAGCCTAAAAAAGGTGGCGGTCTGAGGAAGCTGGGCACATACTGTGATGGGGTGTGTCCAGTGGCTGGAGGAAGGGCCCCCACAGCCCTGCTGGCCTTGGGCTTCTGAGTCAGGCTACCTGCTGCTCCAGAACCCCCGAGGACCCTGGCATCCAGCCATGTGCCCTGCAGCTCTGCTGGCTGCCAGGGCATCTTCCTCCCAAGCACCTTCCCAGCCACCCCAGGCCTTCCTTTCTCCACCAAGGGACTCTCTTCCTTCCAAGTCAGTTTCAGGGCAGGGGGCTCCTTCCCAGGCGCCTGAAGTCTGCAGCTCAGACAGAACCAAGCCCTGAGCTCCTCAGAGGAAGGCGTCTAGAATAAGGCTTCAGGGAATCGGAAATTTCAAATGCTCGATTTGCATATGCACCAAAGGCTAGGGTTCCATTAGGGGAGGCTCCACGAATAAAAAGCATGTTCCCCGAGGAAAGGGGGAGGAGGCGAGAAAGAGCAGCATGCTTCTGTGGCAATCTGTTACAGGCCCAAAGGAGGGGAAGTTCGCCCCTTAACACTCAAATCCCTAGAGGCCCAGGGTTCCGTGTTCAGTTCCTGGGGCTGGCACTCCCCACCCCATCTGCACAGGCTGCTGCTGAGCCCCACAGTCAAGTGGTGAACCCTGGTGACCCTCTGACTCGAGGGCCAGCGGGGAGCCTAGACGAGAGCCTGGAGTCGGTGAGGACCTGTCTCCTGGGACCTGGCAGGTCCCAATCTCTGAGACCTCAGTAACGGGGGGAGGCTCTTGCAGCCCTAAGGGGTGCTCCACCACTGAACCCCGTCCCAGACCTTTCGGACACAGCTTTGCCACGTGGCCGGGATTCCAGGCCGAGCCAGGCTTTTCCAGTGTCTCCTAAAGGAAGCACAGCTGGCTGCTGGGAGAGGGCACACCCTGACCCCCCCTCTGAGCCAGGGGCTTGTTACCCCTCTCAGGACCTCACTGTGTCCAGGTACGGCTGATTCACAGGGGAACTGAACCTCAGAGAGACGGAGGCTTGTGTGTAGTTACTGCAGGGGCAGGTGGCAGGGCCACATCCATCTTTTTGGTTTACAAACCTCTTGACCCATGCTCTCAATTTTTTTTTTTGGGGGGGGGGGTGCTGGGGATGGAACCCAGGGCCTTGTACAGGGGAGGAGGCACTCCACCAACTGAGCTGATCCCCAGCCCGCAATCCAATATTAAAGACAGGTGGTCTTGTTCACGTTTCAGGAGAGTAAAATGCTGCACATTTAGTGGGAAGGGGAGGAAGCCGCTGGCTTGCAGAGGTGGTGAGGTGAAGGGCAAGATGGGAACTAAGGGGCCCGGCTGTCGGCCGAGAGCCCAGCAGGGCCCACGCCTCCCCCGCGTCCTGCTCAGGTCTGAACTGAGAGGTGCCCGAAAACTGCAGCTTCCTTTCTCAATCTGATATTTTCAAAGTCTACTTTCAACAGATAGAACATTCTGGGATGTGGCTGTAGTTCAGTGGTAGAACACTTGCCCAGCTTGTGTGAGACCCTGAGTTCAAGTCCAGGCACGACGACAAAAAATCCTCAGAAAACAAACAAGATCCCCATATTCACATAGTTCAAAATGAAGATGGGTCTCCTGGTGCTACCGCAGGCTGCACCTCAGACTGCCCAGAGAACGGCGGCCAGGGGACACACCTGCATCCATCTGAATCTCCCAGACCTCGGCCTGGGGTGTGCCCGGAGCCAGGTGACTTGGGGGAAAAGCGTCTAAAGAGGACAAGAGCTTGGTGGCCAGTCTCCAGGCCCCTGCTCGCCCCTCTGGTACCTGCTGAGTGTTTCTTTACCTTTCAGGCTCCCTTCACACAGCGCAAGCTGAGGTGAGAGATTATTTCCCCCACTTTAGACAAAGACGTAGCACTTTACTTATATGGTCCTGCACTTTGCTTCAGGCACTAAGGAAACTGCAGAGATGTGTCCCCAGGACCACTGTGTAAGGGCTGGTCTCCTCAGTTCCCAGGCGCACACATGCCAGGACACCCAGAGCTCAGCTGCCCAAGGTGGAGCGCGGGGCAGTCACCATGAAGTGTTTTCACATTTCTAATGCCTGAAAGCCACGGTGCTGCTCGCAAGCAGCTTTCAACAAACCAGGGTTCTGGGAGAAGCCAGAGTGGCTGGGGGACTCAGCAGGTGGACCAGGCTGGGTGTGTCCCTAGGCTCTCTCCCTGCAGGCGCAGGTGGGCGTAGGCGGGCCCAGGCCTGTCAGCTGAACTCAGAGCCAGGTCTGAGTGCGGCTGCTGGGGAGGAAGAAGGGTTTCTTGGAAAAGCAAGCGCGGCCTTCAGTGCCTGCAGGGAAATAGCTCTTTACTGACAAAGAGCTCGGGCTCCTTCCCTGGGAGCCAGCAAAACTCATGGCTCAGCAGGAACACAAGCAGCCTTCTGGGCGGTCACAGTATGGAAGGGTGACACCAGGAGCTGGAAGTTCTGAGCCCGAAGTCACAACTGCTTTCAGAGAACATTCACTAATATGGAGAAAACATACACATTAGGGGACAGAAGCTAAAGGTGAAGTGGCCACACTGCAGGGAGCCGCCTTTGGAACCGCAGCAGGGAGAAGAGGCTGGGGGTGGGGCTCAGCCGATGAGCGGGATGACAGGTGACCCCCTTTCTTCTTCACTCTGCTTCTCATTTTCTTTTTCAACCCCCAGTGCTCATTTTTGGCACTGGGGGTTGAACCCAGAAATCCTGCCACTTGTGACAGCACAGATGAACTGGGGGACAATATCCAAGTTAATAGATCAGTTACAGAGGACACATGTGCATGATTCCACTCAGTCAATACATTTTAAATGGTCAGACCAACAGAAGCAGAGTGGAGGAGTGGTCCCCAGGCTGGGAGGTGGCAAAGGGCAGCAGTTGTTCAGTGGGCACACAGGGTTTGTCAGCTTAGTTGAGGGAGTTCTAGAGACCAGTGACAACATGGGCCTCCAGTTAACAAGGTACAACTTTTTTTAAATTTTGGCAGTAGTGGAGGTTGAACCCAGAGGCACTCTACCACGGAATCCTTATTTTGAGACAGGGTCTAAGTTGCTGAGCATCTTGCTAAATTGCCAAGGCTAGCCTTGAACTTGAGATCCTCCTGTCTCAGCCTCCTGAGTAGCTGGGATTACAGGTCTGAGCCAACATGACTGGCTTCTATAAACTTAAAATTCTTTTGAGAGGGCAGATATCACATTAAGTGTTATAAAGCAACCACCACAACCACTAAACCCACCCCGAGAATCTCCCCAAACCAAAGGCACAAAGATTCCCAAACTTATCAAGCTGCATATGTTACATGTGTGCAGATTTTCTGTGTCAATTATACCCCAATGAAGTCATTTAAAACAGAAAAAGCAGACAGGCATGTTGTGGTGCCGCTGGCTCTGTCATTAGCTATGTGACCATGGGTAAGTCAGTCACCTCTCCAATTCCCAATTTTATCACTTAAGAAGCAAGAAGTGGGTCTGGACTCCCCTGCACTCCCCTTCATGAAGTGAGGACCTCGATGCAGGGCAGGCCCATCAGAGGGTGGATCACGGCGGAGCAGCAAGGTTGTGGAGTGGAACAGAGATGAGAGGAATGAGTGATTCTGTACTTGCAGCATTTATGATGCACCTGCTGGGTGCACAATGTCTTAACAGACTAGTGGGGACTGGGAAGTTGAGGTCATAAGACACCTGGGGCACCGTGTGGGAGGGAAGCAGAGGGATAGGAACGAGAGGGATTTAAAGAGACACAGCCCCTCAGATACGGAGCCCCAGGACAGGAGTGGACAGATGATGCTGAGGCTCGTGGGCCCTTGATAGTGGCAAGGGAATTCTCCAGTCTGGGGCAAGCCTGGCCCCGATGCCAAAGTGGCTCTGGGGAAACTGCTGGCACTGGCCTTCACCACTGGGCTACCCTCCAGTTTCCAATTCAGATCTGGTACCAGGCTTGGGATTTCTGATACCCACCTCACTGACAGCCTGAGTGTGATACCCAGGACCCACTCCTACCTCCCAACTGTCCCTGATGCTCTGAGTCTCAGGCAATTCCTTGTCCTTCCAAGGCTTATGATGCCTCAGTGTATAATGTACACCTCAACGTACAATGTGGGGAGGATACAGTAGAATAAGATAAAAATGATAAGGGATTTGAAATCCAGAGCATTTCACATTAGCCCCAGAGGCCCTGTTCTGAAAGGGCAACATTTAATTCAAAAGCCAGTTGAAAAGGATCGACTGACAGGCAGCTGATCCTCTCCTCCACTGGGGCACTGGGTGTCTGAGCTCGGAGGCTTGCTCACGTCCTCCAGGACAGAAGCCATCCCTCAAACTGAGCTGGGCCAGTGGGGAGAAGACAGCTGGTCACTGCCCTTCCCCTTCAAGCCCAAACTGAAAGTGAAGTTGCAAAAAACACCTTCATACTTACTGGCATGGTTTTGTCTCCAAAGAAATAAATGGTTTTATAACCGTCATTTTCCACGTGTCTCAGGCAATACCTCTTGTCCCATCCATCAGGAAAGACGTCAAAGCTGATCTGGCCTCCTGCCAGGGGACACACACACACAAATTAACAATGATGCCGGGTGTGGTGGTGCATGCCCGTAATGCCAGCAACTGAGGAGGCTGAGGCAGGAGGGTCATTAGTTCTAAGCCAGCTTCAGCAACTTAGCAAGGCCATAAACAACTTAGTGAGATCCTGTTTCAAAATACAAAATAAAAAGGGCTTGGGTTGTGGCTCAGTGGTTAAGTACCCCTGGGTGTTCAAACTCCAGTGCACGCACACGCGCGCGCGCGCACACACACACACACACACACGTTAAAGGGGAAAAGGGGCTAAGGAGGGTTGAGGTGTGGCTCGGGGGCAGAGCACTTGCCTGGCATGTGGAGGCTCTGGGCTCCAGACTTCATTCCCCCAAAAGAAAGAGGCTAATATGTCACTGAAGAAGATTTATAACTCATTCTTTGTCAGCAACTAGATCGCCAAGGCTGTTTGATACCCTAATCTGCAACTTATACCACTTTAAGGACGGGTGCTAGAAATTAATCTACGTGACGTTTTTTCCAACATTATTTCACCTGGGTCTAAACATAAGGTTTAGAACGCCAGCTCACAGTGAGGAATCTGTTAAGCACATGGGTGCAAACAAAGCCCACCTGGGAGAGCCTGAGGAGAAGCCTGGCAGTGGCTCCTTCAGATGCACTTCCTTGCACTTCCCAGTGCCCCTGGTGGGAGATGCCGGGGAGCAGGCTGCATCCAGTGTGTCTTGCAGGAAGTATGAAAATCACGTAGAAGGTGACTGGTTCATAGGCAGCTTCTCCCATGCCACAGAGACCCTTTCAAAGCTCTGTCAGAAACCTGTCCATCTCAGTGTCTAGGAACACTCATGTCTTACACCAAATCCCTTGGCGTCTAAACTTCCTACAATCTATTCATCATCCATCCATTGATTTACAATAAGTAATTGCTTATTGTGCTTTACCATTGAGCTACATCCTCCATCCTTTTTATTCTGAGGAAGGAACTCACTAAATTGCCTAGGCTGGCTTTGAACCTGTGATCCTCCTGCTGCAGCCTCCCAAGTAGCTGGGATCACAGGTGCGTGCCACCATGTCCAGCTCAGGCCTTGGTTTCTTGCTCTGCAAAAACGACCCAGTTGACGGTGACAGTCCCTTGCTGGTGATACACTGAACCACGTTTCCAAGACATCTTGGTGTAATTCATCTCAGAGGCTCACAGCCCCTCCCTCTCTTTTGGAGTTCTCTGCAGAGCGCCTCTCCTGTCCAAAGGCATGAGGGCAACTTCTCACTCTTCCAGCATCAAGAAACTCCTTGTGACCACGAGAAGTGCAGGCAGGAAGAATCCCCAGTGAGGACTCAGAACCAGACCTGACAGTCTGGAAGCCATTTCCTGGGCAAGTCCTGCTACAGCCAATTGTGCAGGAGAGAGTGGCTGCTTTCCTTACAGCCTGGACTGCCCATGTCATCCCCCACCCAGCTCAGCAGCCCACACCCAACTCCTGGCAAATGGGTAGCCACGTCTTGAACGTTTGGATATACAATACCTATGGAGAACGTGAGGCCTCTGCCTGCAAACTCCTTCTGCAGATCTGCTACGAAGTTTTGTCTTATATTTTCTTTCTGGCAAAAAACAACAAAAACCTGTCCATTGTACCGCTTTGTAGAGGAGCACTTTAAGTCCTGGCCACAAAGTGCATGTCTACCTGATTTCCATCCCCCACGGCCAGTTCAGGACTCACTTTATCCAGTTCGTAGAATTCAATGCGTTCTTCTTGGCTGCAGCTTCTTCCAATAGGGGACACATTCAACATCCCGTTTCGGAATTCAATGAAAGTACCCCTAGGGAGGAAAAGGGACCGAGGTCCCCCAAATGTCCTTATTTATTTGGGCAACATCGGTAGGTAAATAGACTAAAAGGTTGAGTGGTTTTATGAAGTAGAGGGGATGTAATCCATATTTCATTTTGTTTTTTTCTTCTTTTTTTGTGGTGGTGGGGATTGAACCTAAGAGCATTCTGCTACTGACTACATCTCCTTTCATTATTAATTTTTTTTAATATTTATTTTTTGATTTTTAGTGGGTACAATATCTTTATTTTATGTGGTGCTGAGGATTGAACCCAGTGCCTCACAGGTGCTAGGCGAGCACTCTACCACTTGAGCCACAACCCCAGCCCCTCATTATTTAATGTCTTAAAAAATTTGAGACAAGGTCTCACTAAATTGCCCAGCTGGTGTTGAACCTGTGCTCCTCCTGCCTCAGTCCCTCAAGTAGCTGGCATTGTGGAGGTGCGCGCCTCCCCTGGCCAGCGGTCCATGTTTCTCAGAGCTGTGCTGTGCAACACAGTAGGCCAGGAACCACAGGGGGCCATTGGGCCCTGAAATGCTGCTACTCCAGAATGAGATCAGATTTGAAATTTAGTATTAAAAAGGAACATGATTACCTTTGTAATGTTTTATAAGGACTACTTGTTAAAGCAGTTCTGATACATTCGGTTGAAAAAAATTTAAAGCTACATTTGTGGCTCAAGTTATATTTCTACTGGACACTGTGGCTGCTTGGCAGAGAATTCAGAGTTAATGAAGAGCTGTGAAGATGCCTCCAGCACCACAAGAGCAATCCGTTCCTCCCTACAGAGCTGGAAAACACTTCCAGACACCTATGTTGCTTGTGAACTCTCAGAGATTGACTTCCCCAAGCAGAGATACACAGAAGGGTTCTGAGAACTGCTCAGAGCCCCAGTAACAACCGAGGAAACTCAATTTACCCTGTGGCAGACATTCCTAAGGATTTGACTTGATCACAGAAAATAAGAACGGCCCAACGAACGCCACCTCAGTGACTTAAATGAAGATGTTTAAAAACATTTTTTTTCCAGGAATCGGGATGTAGCTCAGTGGTTGAGTGCTCGCCTAGCATGTTTGAGGTCTTAGTTTTATCCCCAGAACCTGCCCCAACAGAACCACCACCAACAACCAACCAACCCCATTTGTGCCCACCATGTTTGCACTTTCAGTCTCAGAATAGTTTCTTAAAAGCTGAGATAATTTGGAAGATAGACATTCATCTTGACAAATTAAATTTCAATATTTTGTGACAAACATGCACTGACACATCTTCCAGCTCTCAAAGGCGGCACTTGTGAACCTACGGAACATTTTCCCAGTCTCTTTCCATTATTTAATTACACAGCGTTGACCTCCAGCCACCTGCCATGGTAGATACTGAGAGGCCACCTGCCAGGTGCAGAGTGTGGACGCGATTCAAGGCCAGCTGGCCTCTTACTATGCTGTCTGACTCTGGGCACCTCTCCAGGCCTCTGTTTGTTCACCTACAGAGAGAAGCTAATGGCACTTGCTCTGGCTGCCTCCAAAGGGTCTAGTGAAAAGCAAACAGACAGTTTATGTAAAGGTACTTTGTAAATTGGGAATGAACAAGTACTTATCAAGTAAAATAGAAATATCCATGTCTCTAGCAGATGGATCTGGGCCCCTGCTATGCACGACTCATGGAGAACACAGCAAATGATACAGGAAGTGTGAACACCTAAGAAATGTTTCTAAAAATCCCATGTTTGGAGGTCAGGGGTGTGGCTCAGCGGGTGGAGTGCTTGCCTAGCATATATGAGGTCCAAGGTTCAATCCCACTGCTGAGAAAAATAAAAAACCCAAAGACTCCATGTCCAGGTTGTCCTGAAACGGACAGAGACCTAGCCCTGTCCCTGTCGATACGGGGTTGGGGGGTGAGGGTGGGGACTGATTCCCAGGGCTGACCCTAGGGCCATGGGGTAAGCTATCAGAAACAGAGCTCAGCTATTTCCTCTCAACTCAGACATTGTACTTATTCCCAATACACAGAGGAAGCTGACACATTTCAGAAAGTCTCTCAAAAACAGGGATTAGGCTGGGCATGGTGGCATAAACCTGTAATTCCAGTGACTCAAGGGACTGAAGCAGGAGATCAAAAGTTTGAGGTCAGCCTAAAACTCTGTCTTAAAATAAAAAATAAAAAGGGCTAGGAGTGTTGGGCTGTGGCTGTAGTTCAGTGGTAGAGTGTTAGCCTACCACATTCAAGGCCCTGGGTTCGATCATTAGCCACATATAAATATAAATATATAAATAAAATAAAGGTATTGTGTCCAACTACAACTAAAAAATAAATATTTAAAAAAAAAAGGGCTGGGGGTGTAATTCAGTGGTAAAGCGCCCCTCGGTTCAATCTCTAGTACCCCCCAAAAAACAGGGATTAGGGTGGTTTATCAATACTCAGTTCTCTTGTGAAGACTGGGCCGTGTAGGTCTTACGGCCTCTGCCTGAACTAGGCAGAGCACACAGTACTGATGCAAAATGTGGAAAAGCTGATCAACTGGGTCTCAGTTCTGGTTTCTTTCAGTGTTCTGGAACTATAGCTCTGTACTCCATTCTGCCTCACTAGATGATAAACTCTTTGAGGATGGGATCATGTCTCATTTTTTAAAAAAAAAATTATGCTTAGCCGATAGTAATGAGGTGATGGACTTGGGACATGGGTGTCTGACTTTTTACTATGGGGAACTTAAACTTAGAAGCAAGCAGAATAGGAGAAGGAGCCCTAGGTATACAGCACCAGCAGCACCAGACCAGCCCGTTTCACCCATAGCCTCTCTGGGGGAAGGGACCTGCATGGGCTGGAGGTGCGGCTGCTCTGTGGATCCTAACAGGCTGGAGCAGCCTCTGGAGTGCAGCCCTGAGACCCAGCTGCCCCTTAAAGATGTATCTCCCCCATGACAGTGAAGGTCTACCCAGGAAGTCCTGAAAACCGGAAAGAATCAGCAACCTCACCATTAGCCCCCGTCAGCATCTGGATCCACTGCCTGCCCATCTTTGTATTGGGGGCACTGAGACTGGAGTAAGTGCTCTAGGGTGGGGTGGGGCAGGGCAGCCCCATGGGACCCAGAACAGCCAGGGCCTGATTTGCCACAAAGTCAGAATCTAGATGTTTCAAAATCAGAAAACCAAATGTGAAATGATGGCAATGAGTGTGGTTTTATTTAACACTGTGGGCCAGCCACACTTGGCTTTGGGCAGGCTCTGCAGGCCTCCATGACATGTCCAGGTCTGGAGCCTCCCTTGCTCTTTGTACACGCCCTTTAACAGGTGCTCCCTTTCACCACAGCCTTGGAAGGTGTATGGTGTTCAGTGGCTGCACGAATGGCCTTCATGTGGACAGGCCATTTGCGTCACCATCCTACACTGTTGGCGTCACACACCGTTTCCAAGTGCTGGGCTTTGCATGTAAATGAGCACTCACCCCACAAGACATTATTCCCTACTGCAGTAGCACCTCTTTGCTGAAGGCAAACCTACCTTTTCTTGGGAAGTTTAATTTTTGCAATGTAGCTCAGACAGTAGTTGATCAAGTCTTGGATCAGAGCCTCACCCAGGTGACCTTGAATATTCTAGGTGAACAAAGTAGTGGAGTTACTTGGTTTAGCAGGAAGCATTTTCAAGACAGCTTTCCAGCAAGCCCCATCTTCAGCCACTCCTGCTGGGAAGCTGCGAGGCTGAGGCAGCAGGGCAGGGCCACGGGTCCCTGCCGTTTACTTCTTTCCCTTTTCCTCTGGCTGAAGACATGGGGCAAGCCACAAAAGCACCAGCCAAAAGTATTTTCTCCTCACTGCTTAGAGATCTGTGTTCATTATCTTTCAAACACTTCCTGGAAGTCCAAAGAGTTTAATGCTCTAGCTTTTATTCAATTAAGATATCTACAGTGATGGACCAAAACATACTCCTCTTCTGTCTGAACAGAATGATCCTAGACTCTTAAGAGCTATGTAGTACCTTTTTTTTTTTTTCCCTTTTAAATTGATCTCAGGGATGCTCTACCACTGAACAACAACCCCAGCCCTTTTTATTTTGAGACAGGGTCTCACTACGTTGCAGAGGCTGGCCTTGAACCTGTGGTCCTCCTGCCTCAGCCTCCCAGGTGTCTAGGATTATAGGTGTGTGCCACCACACCAGTTTATACAGTACTTTCTAAGATGCTTACTTATGCTGAGGCAGCCTGCCTAGTTTTTGCTATCATAATAGAAATATTAGATATAAGTATTCTTTTTTTAATAGCTTTTCTTCTTTTAATATTTTTTAGTTGTTGATGGACCTTTATTTTATTTGTTTGTATGTGGTGCTGAGAATTGAACCCAGTGCCTCATGTGTGCTACGCAAGCGCGCTACCACTGAGCCACAACCTCAGCCCATAATTTAAAATTTAGTTGTAGTTGGACACAATACCTTTATTTTACTTTTTTATTTTTATGTGCAAGGTGAGCGCCCTCCCACTGAGTCACAACCCCAGCCCTAAGTATTCTTTTTTTTTTTTAGTTGTAGTTGGACACAACACCTTTATTTCACTTGTTTATTTTTGTATGTGGTGCTGAGGATCGAACCCAGAGTTTTACACATGTGAGATGAGTGCTCTACTGCTGAGCCACAACCCCAGACCTCTTTTTTTAAAGAAAAAATATTTTTTGTTGTCTATGGACATAATACCTTTATTTTATTTATTTATTTTTATGTGGTGCTGAGGATTGAACCTAGTGCCTCACACATGTAGGCAAGTGCTCCGACACTGAGCTACAACCCAGGCCAGATATAAGTAGTCTTAAAAACCAATTATATAAGTAGTATAAGTAGTCTTAAAAACCAATTATAAAAACTTAAATACAGTCATATGTTTCAACATTCAAAACTTAATGAAGAATGGAGTAAAGATTCATTTCCCCCATTAATCAGCTCCCAGTGTCCCGCCCCAGAGGCATTCAGTATCAAATGCCCTTTAGACATCATTTTAAAAGTGTTATGTAGTTGTTCACATACTCAGAACCTACCTGTTTACATAATAGTTTCCCATCTTTGTACGCTACCAAGCCATTTTCTGGAAACACATAATCATATCTTTCAACCACTACAACCAAACCGAAACAAAAGAAAATTCAGAATGAATGAATTAAAATCTGTTTCTACTTCTTGACTAACATGCACCACCAATAAAACTACTGACCTCCAGTAAGAACCATGGAAGAACTTCATCCTAACCAAGCTCCCCAAACGAGGAGAGCAAGAAAGAAAGGCTCTTTGGTTATATTTAATGACAGCAGGCCTGGAGCCGGCCACAGGTCCTGTTCTGTACTTGCCTTCATCCCCTTGGTCTGGCCCAGTGGGCTCCCGAACTTGCCATGAGCCAGCATCACTGGGGCAGCAGGTGATGTAGGTTTCTAAACTCTGACTTTGGGCTTTCTAATCATTAAGTGACAGGCTAAACATAAGATTTTTTTTTTTTTTTTTTTTTTTTAAAGAAAAAGCTGTTTAGGTAATTCTTATAACCAGTCAGATTTGAACACTACCACACAGCCTTAATGAAGGGATTCTCAAACTTTAGGCACTTGTTCAAATGCAGACCCCAGGCCCAGCGCCCCTTGTCCATATCACCACGTGCTGAAAGAGACCCTCGCACCTGTAGTTTAACATGGTGACTGTGACAGAGGTGGGTTTAACTTTCTTCTAGTTTGTGTATCGATTCTTGCTGCACATTCTGACTATGCAGACCCCTCCTGCACCTCTTGTACCAGGAGCAGGAGAGAGGGCAATCCCAACCAGGCAACAGGGTTTCCAGGCTAAAAGTGCCCTGTTGTGCTGTTTAGAGCATTTCTAAACAAAGCATCTACAAGGAGAATTAAACATAAGTGGAGTACAGACTCTTAAAGGAATCGTGTACATTATTCTTCCAGTAATGATAACCCAATAAATATGGCCTACATGGATTTGAAGGGTAAGATATGATATATGGAACAGGAGTTCCAAACAGGGGTGCCGCCACCAGGGGGTATTTGGCAATGTCTGGTGACATTTTGGTTGTCAAAATTCTGTGTGTTTGTGTGTGTGAACTCTGCTGACATCTAGTGGGAAAAGGCCAGGGAAATTGCTAAACATCTTCCAATGCACAGGAGGCCCCTATAATATAGAATTATGTGGCTCAAAATGTCAACAGTGCCAAGATTGAAAAGCCTTGCTCTATCAGAGCTGGTTCCAAGATGTGGGGACTCTGGGGAAAACAGGGGTTAAAGAAACAATTTATTCATCATTTCTCCACCCACTATTTCTCATAGGCCAGGCACCCCAGAGGCCCTGGGAGCACAGAGATAAACAATGACTGGTTCTGGTCTTCAAGGCAGATTCCAAAACTAACAGAGCACTACACTGGCAGGGCTTTGCTGCATCATCCCACAGAACTACTGAGTCAGAATCTCCAGGAAAGGAGTCAATATGGTTCTCCAGCTTCCAGGGTTCTGTTCTGGAGACTCTGGATGGGGGACAGGGAGAGCCTGTGACTCTCCTGAGTAGGGAACACTGATGAAGGCACTGGGGAGGAGGCACCAGCCCACGGGGCACTTCCACACCTGGGCGAGGAGTCAGAGCTGGGGCCTGGGCTAAGGCTAGAAGGCAGTGAGCAAGAACAGGCACGCGCTCGAGGCAGAAAGGTTTCTAAGTGCAGAGATGTGGACACCCACCTTTTTATGACAATCTACCTACACATCGAGTAAAGTATTTTCATCAGTCAACTCTAGAACTGTATGGACAGGATTAAAAGCACAGGAAAAATAAAGGAAGAGAAAATGTTTCCTCAAAGAAGGAAGCAGAAAGCTGACAACAGGTGGCTATAGTTTCCAATGCATCACGAGAAGCTCGTCTTTGACCAAGCATAATCGGCAATGCGTTAGTTACCATCATTTCCCAGCTGCTCCTGCACTTTTTCAAAGTCTGACCCGCCTACCACTCCAATTTTGATCTTCTGCCTCAATTTCTGTAGAAAGTCATCCATTTCTTTGGTAATTTTCTGCATTTCAAGAAGAAAAACACATGTCAGGAGCCACAAAATAATCAACAGACTAAAATTGTAAGAAAAAGTAATTCTTATTTTTATACATGCTTACTCAGTTACTAGTCTGTAGATAAGTTCAAATGTTTTAGTTGTAATTTTAGGTGATATTTTATCAGAATAAACCTATTGACTTTTACTTACATTTACCAAAATTTATTCACATAAGCAATTTATGAAAAGCCTTATGTATTGTTACAGCTATTTTTCTATGAATTTACTAGATATAAACATGTAAAAATAGTCTATTTTTTTCTTTCAGTACTGAGGATTAAACCCAGGCGTTCTTTATCACTGCACTATATTCATAGTCCAGATTTTTACTTTTTATTTTGAGACACAGTCTTGCAAAGTTGCTGAGGAGAGCCTGAAACTTGCAATCCTCCTGCTTCAGCCTCCTGAGTTGCTGGGATTACAAGCATGTAACACTTTGCCCAGCTGGCTGAATTGATTTTAAAATGAAAGACTACAATGAAATTAAATAGGAAGTTTAGAACTGATTTATTATAGTTATATAAAACAAAGAGCTAGGCTAGGAATGTGGCTCAGTGGTTAAGTTTGTGCTTGGCATAAGTGAGATCCTGGGTTTGAACCAGGATCTCAAAAAATCAAAAAACCACCCCCCAACAAAGGATAACATTAGAATTTGTTAGTCTTGGGGGCTGGGGTTGTGGCTCAGTGGTAGAGCTGAGAATTGCACTCAGTGCCTCACACATTCTAGGCAATTTATATAAATAAATTAATAAAATAAAGGTCCATCAACAACTAAAAAAAAAAAAAAAAAAAAAAAGAATTTGCTAGTCTTTTTTTTTTTTTTTAAAGAAAAGCTCCTGTCTATAAACAGTGATCTTACTGGTATAATTCTAAGCTCAATTCCAAATTGTATCATCATTCAAAATAAATCATAAACTACGATGAAAAGATATAACATCTACAGTTCAATGCTTTGTTCTTCCTCCTGCCCTTCCCCACACCCACACCGGGACTGAACACAGCGGCACCTTACCACTGAGCTTCATCCCCATTCCTTCTTTATTCTGAGACAGGGTCTTACCAAATTGCTCTCGCTGGCCAAGAACTTGGGAGTCTCCTGACTTAACCTCCAGAGTTCCTGGGATTATAGGTATTGGCACAACCCTTTTTTCTTTAAAACACGTTTTTTAGATAAATACATTCATATTATTAATAAAACCTCACAGAGGAGCTTATAAAGAGTGAGATCTTCTCTACCTCTTACAGCAGAATCTTGACATATTGGGCAAAATCCAGAACTGCACGAGTGGCCTCTGAGTCAGTGAGAATGTGAAAACCTGTCCCCAGAGTCCCCAAATGGTTTGCTTAGACCTGACATCAGCATGGGAGGAAGTGGGAAGACTGTTGCAAAATATTAGAAGAACAATACTGACCAACAATGGCAGCAATACTTCCAGCTTCAAAGCCTAAGAAAGCGTAAGGGTACAACTTATTCCACTAAACCCTGTGCACACTGATGAGCTAAGTGGTACCGCGGTCAGCCACTGTGACATGTCTTGCAATGTGAATGGGGTATAAAAGATCACTCTTTGCTTCCAGGTGGCAGCAAATACTTTCGGAGAGGAAACAGGATCCACATGCTGTAACCACAGCTGAGCATTTACACTACACTCTGATGCAGAAGAAATCTTCAGAGTGAAGCAAGTGCACAGCAGAATTATTTCAGTGTTCCTAAATAAACCTGTGCTCATGATTATACATTGCCCCACACAAAATGAAATAGAGGAAGATTCAAAAACTTAAAATTAAGATGGAAAAAAGTTTAAAAACTCTGAAAAAGTTTAAAAGCTTAAAAAAAAAAGTTTAGAAACTCTGAAAAAAATTTATAGAAGATTTTGGGGGGAGATGTTTAAGGAAATTTTACTACAGTTATGAGGTGGAGCCAGCAAATGAGAGCCTGTGGGCCAGAATCAGGTCCACTTCCTGTTTGTGTAATCACTGGAACACAGCCCCATCCGTTGTGTACAAGCTGCTTCTGTGCTAACACAATTGGGTAGTTGGAACAGAGACCTCATGGCCTGCAAAGCCTCAAATATTTCCAATCTGTCCATCTACAGATTGAACCCAAGGGTACTTTACCACTGAACTACACCCTCAACACTTTTTAATTTTTGAGACAGAGTCTCACTAAGTTGCCTATGCCGGCCTCAAATTTGTGATCCTCCTGCCTGGGACTGAGATTACAGGCATGCGCCCACACAATCAGATACAAGCCTGATCCTAACTGAAACTTATCTGTGCCCAGAGCAGCAAAAATCTGGTAGTGGGGAGCAAGTTTGCAGGACCCAAGTAACTCTCAGCAGCAGCCTAAAGTGATCCAGGGTTCTTGCGTCACCAAGGTCCATTGCAGGGGCAGGGGGAAGTGTTTAATGTTTTGATATCCACTGTATGCAAGATACTCTAATAATTCTATCAGATCCTCACAAATACCATTTGGAACAGGTAATGTCCCTATTTAAGCTGTAGACGTTGAGACTCAAAGAAGTTAACTGACTGGCCCCAGGTCACACAGCTGTCAAGAGAGGAGCAGAGAATCCACTAAGTGTCTGACTTGGAAGCCTGTCTTTACTATCATGCACACAGCACAGCCCTTTGGCCACAGGACTGAGACGGTCACATGGCTGCAAGGGGTCCTGAGCTGGGGATGAAACCCGGGTCAATCAGTGCCCAGGGCGCGCGGGCAAGTCCACAACGGTACTTCCCCGCCCAATGCACGTTTCCTGCTCTTAAGGTTCGTCGCCGCCTCACGTCTCTGAGCACCCGAGGTTCTGGAGAGCTGGTCAGACCCTGGTCTCATTCCTCCACGGCGCCCAGAACACAGCTCAGCCCCAGGGAGGAAGAAAGGTCCTAAGTCGCCCTTCGGCGCCCACCCTGGGTGGCCATTAGCCAGGTGTGCGAGAGGCGGGGTCCCCGCACCGGCAGCCACTAGCCTGCCGGGCGCCGCCTACCTGCCGCGGGGCCGTCAGGGTCCCATCCACATCGAAGAGGCACAGCACTGGGCCAGACGCCGCCATGGCTGCAGTTTCCGAGCGCACCCGATAGGACGCGCTGGCACCTGAGTTGGCACCAGGTACTCGACCCGGAACTTCCGGGTCCGGCACCCGCGCCGCAGGGCACGCCGGGAAGAGAACCATCCGGGTTCCCGTGTTGCCCGGGACGCGCTTCAGCCCCGTCCCAAGACCACGACTCCCGAGATGCAACGCGCGCCTCGTGAGTCTGAGCATGCGCTCTCAGAGTTTCCGGGGCCTGTGGCATTTACTTCCGGCAGCAGGGGATCCGCTCATGGTGAGGAGGCGGAGGGCGGTGGTGAGGAGGAGGGCGGTGAGGAGGAGGGCGGTGGGGAGGAGGGCGGTGGGGAGGAGGGCGGTGGGGAGGAGGGCGGTGGGGAGGAGGGCGGTGGGGAGGACGCGGGACGTACCGCACTTGGGGCCGAGGTAGGCGCGCCTGGGTTTCTGACTTGGGGCGTCCGCGTGAGGAGGCTGCGGCTCCCCGGGTCACGTGGACCCGCCGGGTAGGAGCCAACCTCGGAGCGCCGGCCGGGCGCACGTACTCGGTGGAGGGTCGTGTCGTGTAGTCTTTGTCTGTTCCGCATCCGGAGTCTCCCTTTCAAAAGGTGAAGGACCGGCTGGGTGGTGCGGTGTCCCACGCCTGCCATCCCAGCTGCCTGGGAGGCTGGGGCAGGAGGATCGCAGGTTCGAGGCCAGCCCGGCAGCTTAGTGAGCCCCTGCCTTAAGGTTAAAAAAGGGGCTCTGGCTGTGGCTGAGTTTTAGAGCGCCTCTTGTTGGAAGGACGGAAGAGGCAAGGCTCCAAGAGAGCTGCAGCCGGGTTTGGGGGAACAGCTTTTGCTGTAATCAGTCAATCCCCTGAAGCCCGAGTTCAGGGAGTTTCAGAGTTCTATACCCATCATGTAAGGGGAGGGGCTCAGAAGTTCCCAGTCTGCAGAAGTTCACACAAAAGCAGCTTTTTCTTTCACTGTTCTGGGCACGTTAACCCTTCAAGGACAGCACCTGAGAAGGGGAGAGCTTCTTCTCCCCCTTCTTTCCTCCCCCACCAGCTGTCACCATGGAGCCCAGTTGGCAACTTCTGTTTTCCTAGAAATGTAGACACCTCTGTGAAGCCCAGCTCAAGGCCAGAGGCCTTGTTAAATTTCTTTTTTTTTTTTAAATCACATTTTGCATTTGCGAACACACTTCTACAACTACTATACTGAATAAGTGTTTGTGAAAAACAAGTAAAGGGGCGTCCAGCACCTGGAATGCTGCTTTCTTCCAGGCCAGTGACCAAGTAATAGAGCAACAGGAAAGTAGGGTGTTTACCTACATTGAACTCTTTTGTAGATACTCTTTTGCTGATTGTCCTAAAATCAATGATGGTGAAGATTTCTGGAGAAACTTAGTTAAGATTTTCTGTTGAGGAAGGGATGCCACTACACTCTGGGTTCAGGCCCCAGTACCACAAAGTAAACCAATCAATAAACCAGTTAATGGAAATAATAGATAAAAGTGAAGAAACTGAGGCACCGAGAGGAGGAGTAACCTGCCTGGGCACTCACAGCTAGTGACGGGGCCAGGATTGGAACCCAGATGTGCTCCAGAGCTTTTCGACTGCACTACTTACCCACTAATGATCTCTGCCACGTGTTGGGGCCTCACTGCATCACTCTGCTACAAAGCTAGCTTAGTAGAAAATGGCAGTTTCCTCTGCCACCAAGATAACGCATAAACCAGGTGGAAAACTGGAAGATTACTGTTGTAAATATAGATTTGTTACCTGAGTTTCCTCCTAGGACATGATTAGTTTACTCCTTGGTAATCACACATTAGTCACATGGCCTTATGGATCCAGTGTCCAGTGGTGGCTCTCCCTAGCTGTTTGTTGAATGAAAGAAGCCTTCTTTTCTATTTTTACTTGGAACTTTCTGGGGGAAAGAGGACCAGTTTGAGAATCAGACACCTCCCCATCCCTATATTCATTCCACTGTGTGACTTTGGGTAAATTTCTCAACCTCTCTGGGGTTAGTTTCCTTACTGGTAAAAAAAGAAGTAGTAGTACTCGTCCCGACTAGCATTTGTGCAGTTCCCATGAAGTAAAGCATCTGGCTTTGCCATTCTCTCTCCTTTGGCAGTACTGGTGACATTGCAGGATTGGTGGGAGCCTCCTTGTGTGATGTTTTACAGATGTACACTGTGTGATTGGCATTGTTGAATTCCATGAGAAAATATCTCCTGTTTCCCTTCCAGGCTGCCCTCCTCCGAGCTGTGCCAAGGTTGCAGGGGCCAGCTGCTTGGGGAAGGCCTCTCCATGGGCTATGGTTTTGCAGTGGGCAGGAGGATCCCAAGAGGTGGGTGGGGAACAGGTCACCCACCTTGAAGGAGAAACCACCAAGTGAAGAGAATGAGAAATTCCAGATGGTCTACCGCTTTAATGCCATCAGAGCCTTTGGGTACGTGTCTCGGCTGAAGGTGGCACAGACGGCTCTGACAGTGGTGGCCCTGCCACCAGGCTTCTACTGGTACTCCCAGGGCCTCATGACTTTCAACTCACTGTGCCTCCTAAGTGGGATAGCTGGCTTTGCCCTGGTCATGCTGTGCTGGATGAGCTATTTCTTCCGGAGGCTGGTGGGCATCCTGTATGTGAATGAGTCAGGTACCATACTGCGGGTGGCCCACCTCACCTTCTGGGGCTGGCGTCAGGACACATACTGTCCAGTGGCTGATGTGATGCCCCTGACAGAAACCAAGGACCGGCCCCAAGATCTGTTCGTACGGATCCAGCAGTACAGTGGAAAGCAGACCTTCTATCTCACCCTGCGCCATGGACGTGTCGTGGACAGAGAGCGTTTTACGCAGGTGTTCGGGACACTGGACAGACTCAAGTGAACAGCTTGGAGCTGATCTGGGTAGCCCGTGGCCACCTGGATCTCTGACAAGAAAGCTGAGGGTGTGGGAGCAGCTGAAGCAGGGAATCTCCAGGACCCTGGGAACTTGTTTTTTTGGATGAAGAAATTTATGAAGTGGAAGTAGTAACCAGGTTTACGAAAAAGGCCTTCAGAGCAGAATCTTCCTATACCTGTATATGACACTCATTCAGATAATGGCTAGAATTTCTGTTAGGAGGCAGCTGTTGGAGGAAGCTGGGCGGGGTCACTTAGCCTCAGCTATGAAACTGGAAGACCAAGAGGCATGGCAAGGGGCACAGGATCTGGAGTTAAAAGGCTTGGGTGCCACCAGTTCTCAGCTCTCAGCCTGGGCAGAGTAGTGTGTCTAAGTTCACATCTGTAAAATGGATGGGACTCTTTGTCTCATGGGTAAATGTGAGAATAACTAAATGTGGGCTGGGGGTCAAGCTCAGAGGTAGAGCATTTGTTCAGCATGTGTGAAGCCCTGGCTTCAGTCTGTAAAACAAATATATAAAGAAACCAATAATTGCCAAGTACTTTGCAAACTCAGTAGCCCAGAGCAAATATGAAGCCTTTGGTCAAAGATATACAGTGGCATCCCATGGAGCTTCAAAGCTTTTAAAAAACAAGTTATACTATACTTGAAGTTGGTCTTTGCTTCATGTTATGAGAGTATCTCAGTTATGTATATTTATTTTAAAATATTCAGGAATTGCAAAGTATTACACTGAGTGGATGTAGCAGGTCCTTTTAACCTTTACTGTTATGTTTGTCAGGTTTTCATTGCTGTGACCAAAATACCTGGCAAGAACAATTAGAGGAGGAAAAATTCACTGTGGCTCACAGTTTCAGAATTTCAGTCCTTGCCCAGCAAACTCCATTATTCTGGACCCGAGGTGAGGTGGAAGGGTGTGGTGGAGAAGAACTTCTCAGTCCCTGGTGGCTGGGAAGCAGGGAGCCCAGGGGTAATAGAAACCCCTAAGGTGTGCCCCCCCACCTACAGGTGCCACATGGTCAGTCCTTTCAAATTACTGACCCATCAGATGGACTGATCCATTGATTAGGTTACAGCTCTCATAATTTAATCACCTACATTGTTAACAGGAGCTTTTAGTGGGGGGCACCTCATATCTAAACCATAACTAGATCATTCCCAGTTTTTTTTTTTGTTTTTTTTTATGGTGCTGGGGATTGAACCCATTGCCTTGTGCATGCAAGGCAAGTGCTCTACCAACTGAGCTATATCCCCAGCCCCCCAATTTTTGAGTAGTAATAAGAATGTAAGCTGAAAATGATGTTTTGAAAAAACTGAATTTTTTTTTTTTTTTTCATATATTGCAGTGCTGTGGCTTAAACCCAGGGCCTTGAATGGGCTGGGCAGGCGACCTGCCACTGTGCTGCATTGCCAGCTCAAAATGACCTTTTCTTTTTTTATACATTACTGGGGATTGAACCCACGGGCACTCTCCCCCTGAGCTATAACCTCAACCCTTATTTTTTATTTTGAGGTGGTCTCACTAAGTTGCTAGGTTAGCCTTGAACTTGTGATCTTCCTGCTTCAGCCTCCCAAGTCACTGGGATTATAGGTGTATGCCACCACATTGGGCCCCAAAATGACTTAAAACAAAAATCAGTTAACAAAAGAAGTTAGGTGTTTTTGTTGTTAATTTTTTCATTTCAGAAAAGCAAATAAAACAATTCAAAAGAGTTTGCTCCTGCAGGCTTTCAAATGTCATTCATTCCACCTAAACTTTACCAGTGTCTGTCTTGTGCCAGTTACTGGCTAATTCAAGATTTTCACCTTTGTGGAGCTTGCAGTAGGGTGTCTGGTACTTGTGGCTGTTAAACAAATGAATGTATATCATTACAGTTGGTGACAAGTGTGAAGAAAGGGTCAGATGGTCTGAGGCAGGACTGCGTGGTGGGAGGGCCTTAGCCCTGGACTTGAAGCGGAAGCAGGAGGCAGGCACAGAGGGAGCAGCAGGCCTGTGCTTCTGCACTGGACAGGTTGAGAGCAGTTGCCAAAGGGAGGAGCCTGACTTTCCTGCTGATGACCGTGGAAGTGGGTCCATCGGGTTTTCCTAGACAGGGCTGTGGGTGCCGGGCATGTTCCTGGTGTGCAGATTCTGTAGGTGTGACCCAGATCCTGGTATTGGGTCTTGCTGGGCCTGGAGGCCCTCAAACCCATTTGGAAGTGCCAGCTCTTCAGGGTAAATGGCATGTGATTCCATTGACTTAATTGTATGATGGCTTTCAAAGCAGCACCCAGCCCATGACCTGGCATCACTATCTGTAAGTTTCCCCAGGTGATCCTAACGTCAGGGTTCGTGCCAACCCTGAAGGATCTTGTACTGTTAAGCCTGCTAGGGACTTGGCCTGGAAGGTGAGAGCCAGTTCCCATCAGCTTGGTGCTGCATGCGTGGCTGGCCCAGGCAGCACCAGCAGAGGGCACACAGAGCAAATGCGCTCTGAGCTAAGACCTCAGTTCCTGATGTGGGAGTGTAGAGTGAGTCGTCTTCCGGAACACCCAATGGGAGAGTGCCTGGGAGCTGTTAAAACCCCAAATGAACAAGAACAGATAACACCATGTTCAACCTTGTAGAGTTTGCTAGACCGTTTCTGTGCTTCCCACGTAATTCCAGTGCACCCCAATTTTGGGGAATTACCCAAAATGGGTGGGAATGCAGCTCTCCAAACGCAGAAATGGTCTTCTATGCAGGTGGGGCATGTGTCCCCCTTAAAAAAACAAAAAATAATAATTGCCTTAGTTTCTTTGGGCTGCTGTGACAAACTACCACAGCCTGGGTGGCTCAAAATAACACACTTATTTCTCAGAGTTCTGGAGCCCAGGAAGTCCAATCAGGCTGACCCTGTGTCTGGTGGGGGTCCATTTCCTGGTTCATGGCTGCCATCCCTTGGCTGTGTTCTCATGTGGGGGAAAGGGTGAGGGAGCCTTCCCGATGTCCTTTATCAAGGCACCAATATCTTTCATGACCTAATCAGCTTCCAAAGTCCCCACCTCCAAATACCATTGCACTGGAGATGAAGTTCCAACATGAATTTCTGGGGACAGGGAGGGCAGAGATTCACTATAGAGTAGTAATCTTCACACAAGAATGTGAAGATGTTCACTGAAATATTTCTAATAGCAAAAAAAAAAAAAAAAAGTCTCAAGTTTCCCTTAGTAGGGAACATAGTTAAACAATTGTTGGGTCCATACTGTGGCATTCATGTGGCCCTTAAAAAAGGGTGAGGTTGACCTACATCTGTAGGCAAGATGACTGTGGGGTGGCATGAAATGAAGAAAGCAAAACACAGAACAACATGGTTGGCGGTGGTCACCCCTGGGGAGGGTGTTGGTGGATGAGACCGGAAGTCTTATGTTTTCAACTGGATACCCCTGCTAAGGTTTGAGTTTTCATCATGAGCCTGTCACTGCCCATAACACATGAAGGATGCTGTGGTGTACACAGTCCCTGCCCAACTTTCTAAACAGGAGAAGTTTCCCAGCTATGAATTCCGATTCTGAACTCAGTGGCTGGGCACAGGAAACCCACGGTCAGTGGAAAGCATTTGTGACGTGACTGTGCTGGTCCCTTGTAGAGCAGCTTTCCTTCCTGTCTGGACGTGGCAATCCCCTTCCACTCTGCACGTGCTGTGGCTGTGTATCATTTAGATATGGAGGACAGGGTGGTCTGTGCCTTGTTGGTTTCCACATGGTCGTCACTTGAACTGGGGACAATGCTTCTGGTTTGCACATCAGGTAGCACATGGAACTTGAAACTGGTCACAGCTGTTGATCTTCCTACTGTTAACAAACCTGAGACTCACCTTGTCCCAGGGCCAGGTGTCTACCCACCTCCCAGCCTCTCATTCAGTCTCCATGTTGAATGCGCTTCCAGATGGATCAATGGGCACTGCTCCTCGCAGGGGACAGCCTGGGTGACTGCCCAATCACTCCAGTTGGCACTTGCCTCCAGCTGCTGTTTCATGACTTCCTTAATGGAAAGCAACAGGGTCCAATCAAGCCCCAGGCAGAGTCCAACTTTTATGGCCTTGTTTTGATCCTGTGGCTTACAACCATAGAATCTTGCCTGATTAGAACTAATCAGGCAGGGCTGATACCATCTGGCCATGTTGGTACCAACTGGAGGGACAAAATATTCTTTTTACTGATCTACAGTTGGAGTATTCCAGCATCAGGTCTGTACCTGTGTTGGGAAATAGATGTAATATTTACGAGTAGAAATGCTGCTCTATGAGGTTGGTAGTGTCCTATGTGAGATACACTCAGCTATTCATGAAGAAGCAGCATCAAAAGGAATGGTAAGCACCTACTGTGTGCTGATGATTTTTCCATGATTTTATTTAATTTTGCCAGTAGCCGTTTGAGTTGGAGAACCCCAGGGAGGAGATAGAATGCAGGGCAAAGCACAAGGCTTCTGAAGCTGAGTTTCTTCTCTGTTTGAATCTCAGCCCTGCTGGGACCTTGGACCAGTTGTATAACCGCACTTTGTGCCTTGGTTTCTTCATTTGTGAAGTGAAGATAATAACAGTATATCACTGGGAGGACTAAATGACCTACTATAGGAAAAGCACTGAAAATATTGGTGGTTAGGCCAGGGAAGTGCTCAGGAAATATTAGTATTTACTATAATCACCCACATTTGGCAGGCGAGGCTCAGAGAGGTAAAGTGCCTTGCTCTGTGTCACCCAGGTAGAAAGTAGCAGAGCTGGGTCATTCTACCGACCTGTCCTGCCTCACCAGAGGGGAGGGAGGGACAGAATATAGAAAACATTGACCTATTTTAAAAGTGTATTTGATCTTGAAGTTCTGGTATCTTTAATCCAGCTGCCTTAGAAATGTGCATTTTGGAGCTCACACTAATGCTGACCAGTTCTTGTTGACTTTCAAGGACTGCCTATTTGGGTGGCGCACACCTATAATCCCAGCAACTCAGGAAGCAGAGGCAGGAGGATCACAAGTTTGAGGACAGCCTCAGCAACATAGGGAGGCCCTAAGAAACTTACTGAGACCCCACTCAAAATAAAAAACAGAGGCTGGGGATGTGGCTTAGTGGTAAGCGCCCCTGGAATCAATCCCTGGTAGCAAAGCCAGGCTGGCTGAAGGAAAGCGCCCTGAGTGCTCGACAGTCCCATCCTCAGCCAGTCCTTCATCAGCTGCATGCAGGGGTCCACAGTGATCTTTCTTTCACAGGTTGTATAGATCACATCCTGGCCTCCAAGTGGCAAGGTTTTGGGCAGGCGCGCCTAGCTTCGGTTTCCTTGTCTTAAACGTAGGTCTACAAAATAAACACCTTGTCGTTTCATTGTGAGAATTTTAAAGCACCATCAGAAAAGGAGGCTTGCCGTGAATGTTCAAAATGACGATCAGCACTATTTACCGGGATTATTGTTTAAAAGTACGTCTTATGGTAAATACTGCCTTCCAGGCTAAATGGTTCATAGATTTGTTGGATGTCCAATTTGGAAGGACCCTGGAAAGATGTGATCCAAACAGTACATTTTACAGTTAAGGAAAATAAGGACCTTGAGAACCACAGCTGCTGCTCGGACAGAGGTGGCTCCAGCTCAGGACACCAGAGGGGTCAGAGAGCTGACCATTTCCACAGTGTCTCAAAGCGTCCCTGTGCCTTCCCCTATTGCTTCTGCTCCTAGTTTATTCCATTGTCAACCACCAGGGAATCTAACTTGGTTTGGAGTGATTTTAGGATTTTTTAAAAAACTCTTTAGGGTGAATCCTAATACATCTGGTGTTGAGAATGACTGTCCTGTTTGGCCTTTGCTTTTCTTTCTTCTCCAACCTGTCTCGCTGTCTCCTCTCCAGGCCACAGGCCAGCTTCCTAACTGCTCTCGGGACTCCCTGTTCCTTGTGGAGAACCCTCAGGAGTCTTTCTAAAACATGCCCTGGATGACTCCCTGCTCCAGACCTTTGGCCACATGTCCCACATGGAAGGCTCATATTGCTCAGCATGGCAGAGAAGGTCCCAGGAGACTGAGCCCTGCCTTCTTGCTTGACCTGGTCACAGCCTCATCTTGTCTCCCTGTTTGTGATCTAGCGATAAGGATCTCAGAGCCGCCAGTCCGGCCCTTGCCTTCCTGCCTCTGTCTGGCTGTAATCTTCCTCTGAAACGTCCCCCATTGCTGGAGCACCCCTTCACCTTGGAGGTAGCCTTGTGCATCTGCAGCATGCAGTGTCTGTCTCGTCCCTACACTAGGTGGTCATGACCTTTCCCGCCAGAACGTGGGCTGAGAGAAGGGTGGTGCCTCATCCACCCTGACATCTCTGTCACATGATATGAATGCAGCGAAGATGGCCTTACAGCACTTCTGAGCCCAGGGTGGCTTACGCAGGTAGGGCTTCCCCAAGACGTCTCTACCGGGTGTACGATAGGTGCTTCCTAAGTGCTTATCAAATAATTATGTAACAAAACCATTTCTAACTCAGAAAGTCCACGTTCACGCTGTTGTTCCCATTATAAATTTTTTTTTAATTTAAGAATACTGATCAACACAGGAAACATTTAATTCATGGAATTGTGCATGTGGTCATCAGTTACATTGTGGCATGTTAATTTCCTTATCATTTATTGGCACTGTCAACAGAATACTGTAAACAAGATCACTTTGTATGCATAAGTCTGCGATGCTCCCTAGCTATGGTTTCTACCATGAGCTGATATATA